ACGAGCTAATAGCCCATTCGGCCTCGCGGACTCGGCCTCATGGGCTATTAGCTCGTAGTCCACTCGACCTCGAGGTCTAATTGTTAAATAACACATACCTTTTTAAAGGAAAATCTGGAGTCGTGATGAAATGTTCGAGGAGATGAAAGATGCTGGTGCATCGTCTCGTAAGTATTATATCTCTTAGTTATTTAGAATGATATTATATATTTTTTGTACTGATTTTGATTCAAACATAACGAACCATCTTTCCTCTATTCAGTTGGTTTTGCTTTCTCTCAAGAAGAGTCTGGTCGTGTTGGACAAGTAAGTGTTGACTATTAGGGTTCGTACGGGTCCTGGAAAAGCTGGAAAATCATGGAAATTTCTTTTTTAGTTTTCCAGGCCTGGAAATCATGGAATTTTGTCTAGGGTTGGAAATTGTCTTGTTTGCGTCGTTAAAATTAAGAACACTATTTCCTGAATAGGGAATAGATTTAAGACAAATTCAATACATGTATTGAAATATCCCATAGACACTCCATCCTTTTGTTCGTAAAGGTTGTAATTATATTGGAACAATTAACTTTTTGAAGGTTACATACATAAAGTCTGCATGCCTTGTATTTATGAAGCAGCAAAAAGTCATGGAATTTGAGACATCTAAGTGATTGATTGATGTATTGATTCTTTAAATGATTCATTGTTCGATTTATTGATCGTGCAAGAATACTGCACTGTATCCTTTGACAATCTCAAGTCATATAAATTAATCGTTAAAGTTGGACTGCATATTGATTGGTCTTTGGTTCGATGAATGAATGAATCGATTGATTAATGATTTGATCTCGTCTTTTTCTCAGGCTGAGCTTATTCGAAGATACGACACAACGCTAAAAAAGCCTCGTGGAGACTGACTACAAATATCCCTAGGGTATAAATCAATGAGGGTAGCTTATGTATAGACTGGGTAAATCAATGTTTAATAATAGGGGTGGGTTGGGCTGTGGACATGCCCCAAAAATCGTGTCACATTAGGACTTAACGTTGCGTCTTTGAAAATTCTGCTATTCATCTCACCTGTGAAAGTGTACTGATATTTATTATGGGTTTTGTGCATTTTAAGTGTGGTTCTTATATGGGGTTAACAGGAAAGTTAAATATAAAGACATTCTATTTTTCTTTCTTGGACGACTTTCACAACCCGTGAAACATCAACTTACAAAAGAGCTGAGTTAAAACAGTAAAAGTGATAAAAAAACTTCAAGGTATTAACTATTCTAGAACGTATTTTTATACGGCTTTTCAGTTGTGTTTCTTTGCCCTTTTGTGTTTATTGGTAACGTAGCTCCGTAACGTAGATCAGTAACGTAGATCGGTAACTTAGATGTGTACAAGTATACTATCGACTCGAAAAAGCAACCAAGTTATTTTATTGAGTTTATTTATGTTCATTCCAGAATATTTCGAAATTCAGCTGATAAGGAAGTGAGAGTTTATTTTTGAGGTTCACGGCCGCTGGCTTTTCTAGTCGATACTTATTTATAAAAGTTGTTATGGGGTATGAAAGAATGTCGTTCGTTATTTACAATAGTGGACCTCCTTGAATTCTTGGGTATTTTTGTGATTAATTGGGAAATCCTTGGTTTTATTTTGTATTATTTTATATTCACGCCATTCAATAGGGGATTTGTACGGGGGTGTCATTTTACTGCAACTACCAGAATGCTCTGCGTGCATCGAAATACAAAGTGTGCAAAGTATACTGGTGGTTGCAGTACAGTACAGCCTATCTATTGATATTTTACTAAGGTGTTTATGTACAGTTATTTCGTACTCAGCAATTAGGCTGTTATTAATATTATTATCAAATTAGGTCTATTATTTTAAATTAAAAGAAATGGTAAATATATTTGCTGCCTTTTATGCAGAATTAAAAGATATGAAACTATTAAAATACTCACTTTATTTTTTGGAGCCGAAAGAGAAACCCAACTTAACCACTAACCCTGACCCGGCAAATCCAGTTTAATCACTTAGGGGTAAAAATTCAATGCCAATTGGCAATTTTGAGTTTCTGGATATTTGCATTTTCTGCAATCTCTTAGGGTGTAGGAAAAGAAGAGAAAGATCGCATTGGGCTATGAAATAAAAGAAATTTTAGTCAAATAACATTCACGAATGCGTTCATATGAAATAATGTTGTGCAGCTCTTTTGTTTCATAAATTGTTCTGGCTCAGTGATATCTATTATTAGTTAGTAAATAGCCACAAATTGCTACTGTTTATTTTGATCATATTTCAAGGTACAAGTGCGTTGACATTCCGATAAACTGTAAGAATAAACGTGGCTGAGGTCGAAATATAGAGATTATTATTACTTTTTCTTTCTTTTTTAACTTGTTCCCTTTTTTTGGGGGGGGGGGATGTCGGAGTACATTTACCTACATTCCTGGTATTTTAACCATATCAATATGGTTGTGTAGTGATCAGCTTCCTTGTATTCCCGGAAGTCGTTGCATACCGCGTGTCTTAAAATTCAAAGGTTGTATATGATGAAAAGTGGAAAGAAGCACTTAGACTCCCTGACTGTACAATATTTTCTTGTTTTACGCCTTATTCAAACGCTTTCTGCATTGTGTAAAGGCTGCAATTAGCGATTACTGCCCGGAAGTGTTTGTCGCAAGAATGTGTTGATGTTTGCCCTTGAGCTTGTAACATGCATAAAGTTTTTACCGTTGCTATGGCTACTACTTTTCTTTCCAAATTACCCTCTACAGTACCTTAGAACAAAGCCAAATGTTGGATATGACGGGGAAAAAAGGGTCTGTAAACACCATCCCTTCGAAATCAACTAAATTTCATTTTTTTCCGATTTTCAAAATGGAAACATCCGAAAGTAAAACGCTTGGCAGAAGTAGAAATCTCCATTAAGGTGCGACCTGATAATCTCGTTTATTCACCTTGTACTTCATACCTAGGAAATTGTTATTTTTTTCTGGATATGAAGTTAGTCAAAAAATGTCGAATATTATTCGGAAAAGCACCTTAGTTCGCACAATGCGATAAGAACTCTTACCAACAGTGTTTTCTTTTTTCGTTATTTTCTTCGTCGTCGTCTTTTATTCGTTCTTCATTGACGAGCCTCTGTAAGCAATTTTTGTTTAAAAAAAACATATATTGATATTATCGTTGCTATTGTAAGTAAAATGTGCAGAAACTCGAATGGTTTACATTGGTCAAGTTAGCAAACTGTGTCTCTAGTGTTCTAAGTAGGTCCATATAAACAAACCTCACAAGACTAATTAATATTCCACGTGCTTCTTGCCGGTCAAATCGTCATGATTGACTATCATTTGTAAAAAGAAAATATATAACGTTGTAAAAAGGCTTTCTCATGAAAGTCATTGTTTGTTATATTACTGATGGTTCATGTTGATGGCCTTTTTTGGTGGATTTTGTGTTCTTTTTTGCGGTGAAAGATGTATATTTTGTTTCACCGGAAGACGAAATGATATCTCTTTTGTCTCAATCAAATCGTGATTAAATGGTTTGCTAGAGTATCACTGATGAGAAATCCGTTGATAATTAGTGAAAACAACTAGTTTTTCTTGGGCAAATAGAGCCTCAAAAACACTTTGGTAGAATTCGATCTACTGACACGATTATTCATGTTACGAACTGTAGCACTATAGCAACCAACCAAAAATCGCATCCTATTTCAATTGAATTTTTTTTTGCAAAGTCTGCAAGAGAAAGGAACACATATGGATGGATGCAAGCTTTTGAAAGACCTTTTTGACTGCTTAGGGATGTCTCACATGTGCAACAGATTTTTATCTCTTGGTTACGACCAATTGCAAGATGTGATTTATCTCAAAAAAGATCAAATCGAAAGCTTAATAGTAAATCCAGGGGAAAGTACGAAGTTTCTTCGGCGTTTATACGAAGGTGAGTTGTGTACTGTTTTATCATCTTCGCAATAAGACGCATAATCTTATCGTTTTCTTCGGCGTAGTAAATTAACAAAGACAAGATGTTTTTTAGTATGATCGCAGTGCAGGTTAGCTGGTTGTCATAAATTTTGTCGCCACCTGGAGAGCTTTTGTCGCCGTTTGACCGCAAATGTAAATGCCCATCAAGCGCCGATATTTCAGTTTAAATCCCTATAAGTGCACCTACGATACTTTCATAACGATAACAAGGCAAACATTTTTGGATGGACAGCAATGCATACTTTTCCTTAGGGTTAGAGTCGTTCAACAATCTGCGAAGATCTGCCAAACTGACAATTAAATCAGTTCAAAGAACTGTTCATTCTGTTTAACTTTAAATTCCAAACCTGTTTCCTGTTCGGAGCGAAAATTAAACTTCAAGCCTGCTTTGTTGTTATCGAGCAAAGTAAACGCACTTAATCGTGATGAAATTGTAAAAAACCCTGTATAAATATATGAAATTGCAGTTATACTCAGACAATAAAGCAGAATATCCTATAAATCGTATTTGTACTTACTAAACTGCCAAAAAAAATTAATACAATTTCACAGATCAGGTGCCATCCTTTCGTTTCCCGTTTCACAGTCATGACAAATCTACTCAGTAAACTCCTTGGCTTCAGTGGCGGATCGCATTTTCCTAAAACGAACTTTTTTACTGTACCTCTTGAACTGTAGCAAATGTAGCGTGAGTGTATTTAATAAAAATTCATTGTACGATGCGATTTTATTTCATTTATCATTTATTTTTTTATTTTAGTTTTATTTTTTTATTTTTTTAAAGCTTGAGGGGGGGTTCCTAGGAACCCATGGAACCCCCCTGGATCGGCCACTGGGCTTTCTTGGCTAATTTATCAAAAGAACAGTTATGTAAGTTGCTTTTCAATTCCAAACAATGACAAATTTATGTTGTCAAATTAGTTCAGCGCCAGTCTTTTTATGTACCATATGTATCACCCGTGAACCGGCTTTGTTCGTGTCCATATCTGTTTTTGACCTTGAAAAAGCACTCTTGCTTCTGCATATGTTCTCCGGCTTATTCAATTAAAGACAAGAATTAATAGTAGAATTAATATTTTGCCTAACGTATAGATGTTATTAAAAGAAATGAAAGCACCCAACTTTCAATTGGATTTTCCGTGAGTACAAGCAGTTCATCGTCGATTTTCCTATGTCATTCTGTACAACTGTACATGACCAACGTTCAAGAAAAGGAACAAACCCAGCTAGCTGCAATAGGCTGAATGAATATATTCTTATAAAGCTGACTGTAATGTGCCGCGTATCCAATAAATAAGGTTACTTGCAGTGGCAATGTTTGACCACTTTCAGTTTTAGCGATTTTATTAAGATGTCTTCAGCACAAGCATGACGTTTTGAGTTATGCAAAATCATATTGCAATGGGCCTACGACAAAATGATTTTTTTCTAAAATGGAACTTCATATGAATTTCATTTATGCATATAAGAAACATCATCTAATATAATATTTATCATGCATGTATACCATGCAGTAAGGCTTAAGGGCAGTGCACAGATTAAGTAAGTAATCCGCGGACATGATGATCTTATTCCTCTTATGCCATCAGTAGATACGGTTTCTATAGCAATGGCCCATTGATAAGAAACAATATGAAAAAATTAAGCGTAACAAAAACCCAAAGAGCTTATACGTGTGTTATTGCTCTACTTTTTCAAAAATTAAAAAATAAACATGATCTTACGGCTATAAAACTAAAAAAATCTTTACCTAACAGACACCATAAAAAAGCATTTAATGTGCGTTCATTTCGTCAAATAAAAGCTCTTTGGCGTCAAACATTGACTTTCAGTTGACCAGTGTTGCATGTTCAGCAGGTTTGAAACCTACTCGATCTGATTTGATTGAAAGGCTCATAATTTCCAATATAATATTGAGAACTTTTTCAGAACGAAAAGTTGTATCCCTGTGGCTGCAAGAACTTGGATTAAGGAACTATCAAGAAGCACTATTTTCTTGTGGATTGACGAGCTTAAAGTCTTTCATTGGCGTCACTGTTCAATCTGTTGAAATATCAGGAATCACAAATTGTGTTCATCAAAGAAGACTCCTCAGAGCGGGTTTGTATGACGCCATTAGATTATGGTTTCATTTTGATTTCTTTCCAGTTGTACAAATAAACACCTGACTTTCTGTTTCAGTTCAGATTTTGGCGGAGAGTTTTATTTCACGTGACGCTGTTGGTATTGGGGAATGGAGTGCTCATGGACAGGCTAAAGGTGGCAGGTTAGCTTAATAGAAAATCCTGATCTATATTAAGCAATGCCGATTCTAATAAAGCACCTGAAATAGAGTTCAAACACTATTTAAAGTGTAAATAAGTATTAATCGTGTGTCTGTGTCTGATTAGATCAGCAATAGTAACCTTTATCATATAATCATCTATGAAATGCCTATATTTCTCCATTTCGTGAAATTGATATTTTTACTAGTGAAAATAACAAGTTAGTTGGAAATAACACATTTGAGGTTTCTCTATATAGTAAAAGCAAGAACAAAGGTATTTTACGACACAATTTCCTTTCATATGTAATTATATGATAAACTGAGTATTATTTGGTCGCTTAGAAATACGAATTTTATCTTCTCGTGTTGGAAAATATCTCACTCGTTCGTTACGCTCACTCGTGAGAGATCTTTTCAACACTCGAAGATAAAATTAGTATCTCCGCCCGCCCATGTAATATCCTCTATTTATTTATCACTTACTAACGGAAACTTGTTTTTCTCACTAAACAACTCTATTTATATACGCGCGCAAACAATAATAACGGAATTCATTTTTTTTGCACTGAACAAGATCTGAGAGCAGATCGTAACGTCTGAATAAAAAACTAAGCTAGAGACAACTAGATATTTGTTTTTTTTAACTCTATTTATCTATATATCTATCTTTAAAATGATCACGCTGCCACCAACGGACACTCTAAGATTATAACATTCAAAATTAGTCTTCCTTGGGATCCTCTAGGAAGGCGATCTCGGTCTTCCTATGAACATGTTTCAAGATTAAAAGCGTTTCATGACTCGTCATACAGTCAGCAAATGTAATATCTTAGCCTGCGCACCCTACCGTTCTTTCTCCAAAATATAAATTCTTATTGTTCAGTTCATATGAGCATATAACAAAAAGGTAGATAAATAAAACCTTTTCTTTTTCTCCTTTGCCCACTGTATGTTCGATGAATGCATTGCTTTTCTTACAGGCTTGGTCATTTTCTCTGTCTAACAGCCCATGTCCATAAAAAAATCAATAAAGACACACCCACCTCACCTACATTGATTCGCCCTGTTAGATTTCTGGTTGATTCTGGCAGTGACGTAGTTACTCTTCGGCCTGGCATCATTCGTGACCTAAACCTGGAACCGATAGGAACTGCGAAGCAAACTGGGGCAAGTGGAGTCATAATCGACACCTGTATATACAGTGCATGCGTGAAAATTGGCGAAAAAACTGTTCCCGTAGAAGTAAGAGTTCATCTTATTCTTTTTTCAGCCAAGGCACTTTTTACCATCATATATGAATGTGTCTTACAGATTCCACGATATGCAGTTATATACTTTAGCGCATGCATATTTAACTTTTAAATAGTTATTTAGTAACCTTGGCTAAGTTGATATATGTCTCAGTCCTTATTCCCTATTCTTGAAACTCGCTACACAGTTGTTCATGTGAAATTATCCATTTCTGAGGGCTCTTTAGAAATAGATAATTGATTCATCTTGACTTTCTGTAATGTTTTCCATGAACTCAAGATTGTGGTAGAAGTTTCCTAGGAACTTACACTATTACACTACTTTGAGATGGTTGATACAGGTGCTTGATCCCACTTCGTAATTCATGATAATTTTTTTGTTTGTGGATACTTCTTTGCTTTATCTTGCCAACCGCGCCGACTCAGAACAGTGTTCCTTGAGTAGGAGCCATGATTTCCTGTACATGATTTAATGTGATTCTATGTGTGTATTTTGTTTACCTTTCTTTATTTCTTCATTCAGGTTGTTTCAGATGCTATGGATTCACTAGGAACACCAGTACTTCGACACTTTAACCATTTAATTCATAATGACAAGCACTTTTGGCTTGAAAAAACTTGTGATTAAATTCCAAGAACAGATATACTATCACGTATTACTTTGTTTATTAAAGTAAAGGCAATGCATAGTAAAGGCTTAATAAGTACAGTGCATTGATCGTAAAATCTCTCGATAAACTACGCAAATCAATACCATCTCCACGTCCTACAGATTATTGCTGACAAACGTGCACATGAAAAGCCCTAGAATTTCGTACTAGACAGGTTAAGATTTTAAAATCTGACAAAAGGCTACTTTCATACGGCCTAAAACACAGTATATCGCCTCAATGTGTTACAACTTAGGAAATTGTTCCTTGTGTTGAAGACTCTCTGATATCTCACTTAAGATCAACTGCCTGAAGACGACATTCGTAGTCGAGTCGCTTCTACAATCCAGTCAGCACCGAGATTAGATAGGAACTTAAACACATGAACTTCGAGTTCTGAAATGTGGGGGGTACTCCCATATATTTGCTTTACGGGTATGTGCGCCGCTCGATAGGGTCCCTTTTCCGGAGCTCCAAGTCTGTGATAGGGTATCGTTTTTTGCCTATTTGTCTGGGATATCATCATCCCTGTATCATGCATCGGTAGATACACCCCTAAGATATCATCCCTGTACCATCTGTTGGTACACCCCTGAGGTATATGTTGTGAAGTTAGAATTAAGTTGAAGTTCATTAATCCAGCTATTTTACAAATTCTCACGTTAAAACACCTTTACTACGTGTGTTATAGGTATGTTAAAGTGAGGATTTGAAAAATACCTAGAAGGGTAATGTACAAACACCACATAGCAGACATAGTATCTCTTAACAAAGATATCAGTGCTCAAATACAATTCTGAAGCTAAGACTGCTAATTTACACTAATAAATATTATTATTTCAATTTTATTAATATTAATATTATTATTATCATTAGAATGTCTCCTTGATTGTATCGAATGTGTATCCAGCTTACTTGCTCTCTTTACAGGGTGGGTTGAATATCTATTGAGTGGTGCTAATATATTGAGCCGACTGGCTATTTATTACGCTGGGTTGAAGGCTATTGAGTGTATCGAATGTGTATCGAGCCAACTGGCTATTTATATGGGTTGTGTTGAAGGTCTATTGAGTGGATCGAATGGGTATCGAGCTGATTGGCTATTTATACAGGGTGGTTGAAGGTATATGTAGTGAAGTTAGAACTAAGTTCAAGTTCATTAAACCAGATATATTACAGATCCTCACTTTAACACACCTTAACTACGTGTGTTATCGGTGTTTTAAAGTGAGGATTTGGAATTACCTTCAATGTCTGGATTTTTCTAACTTTATCGCGTATGTTCTCAGTTAGTACAAATGATAATAATAGTAATAAACAATAATATTAATTTGTGTAAACTATCAGGTTTTAGCTTAAAAGCTGAAACTGTAGTTGAACACAGACATCTTACTTAAGAAACATATTATATGGTGTTTGTACACACGGTACACTATCGCACTAGGTAGACTATGATACTGTACCGCACACGGTGCACTATCGCACTAGGTAGACTATGATACTGTACC